GAAAAAAGAAAGAGAAATATTAAATTATGATGACTCGCCATGTATAGAAGAGTCTCTAAATCTAACGATTTTCTTAACAATTTCTACATTTTTTTGGTCACTTCAGCTAGACATAGTCATGAAAATATAGCTTTGGAGAGATTTACTTGTAGACATTATAAATTTTAATTTATGTGACAATTTTTTTGTGCAATCTACATTAACATTGAAAATGCTCCTACGAGGTGTCTGATTCTTAAAGCTAGAAAGTCCATCTCCCGTGTTAGTCACGCCTTCTATAGCACCATCTCTCTTCTATATATACACCAAATCACAAACACTTTACACTCAACTTAGTATCAATGGCAAAAATGACCATAGTTTCTTTTCTTGTACTCTTGTTAATGGTGGTGGTTGCACCCTATACAGAGGCGGCCATTAGCTGCGGACAGGTGCAGGGTAGCTTGAAACCATGCTTAACCTACCTCATGAAGGGTGGCGTTGCATCTTCTCAATGTTGCAACGGTGTTAAAGCTCTCTACGCCTCAACTGCAACCACTGCTGCTCGACGAACCGTCTGCAACTGCTTGAAGCAAACAGCAAGAGTCTTTAAACGTATCAATTTAAACGCTGCTGCTGCTTTACCGAGAAACTGTGGAGTCTCTATTCCTTACAAGATCAGCCCCGCCACTGACTGCTCTAAGTATGCATCTCTTACTCTACTTCGTGTTTGCTTATTCTCACTAAAAAAAAGTAATTTTATGTAATTTATTTGTTGGACCTTACAACTCTGTTTGAATTCCATTTTTTCTTAAGAATACATTTTGGAATAAAAGATTGATGGAGAACGTACGGTTAAAATATAAGGAAAAATTTTGGGTTTGCATATAATATTATTTTATTGAAAAATGTGTAGTTGAAAAGAAGAAATAGAAAAATTTATTTTAAAAATAATAGAGATCAAACAAGGACAATTTTCTTAAAAGTTACTTTTTTTTAGATCACCATTTGAAAACTTGATTTTTGATGTTACGTCCTTAACTCATTATCACAAATGTAACTTCGATTTATCTAGCTCTAGCAAAACTAATAGCTTATGGCCATATTTGGTATAGCTAAAAATTAAATTTCTAGTAGATTTTGACAAAAATTAATAAAATGTGTGATTAAAAAGTTGCAAATTTCATGAAATGTATAGTTAAAAATTAATTGTTGATTTAGATTAAATTTGTAGTAAGATTTTAATCAGCACCAAATAGGCGTAGATTAAAAGTACGACGTGTGCATAATTTCTATACATAGGTACCGAAATATTTAAACTACGGACTTTAATTTATCTACTCTATACTACATTGAGTATGACTTAATTAAAAACTTAAGTTATTAGTTCTTGATGTTATCAAGACGTCGATATGTCTAAATAACTTATTGATCTATTCAAGTAAAAAATTTGTTGTTGACTAATATATAATTTTTGTTTCTATGTTCCCATTTTCTTGCGAATAATGCTCCTTGAACAGCTTTAGTCAGGGATGGAGTGGCAACACCTGATTGAACCATTTTTTTTTAATTGTTCAATCATGTGTTAACATATGATTTTTGAATATATCATTAAGCTTGTCAACGGTGACATCTCTCATTTTTTTGCAGGGTTAAATGATACATGACGGGAATTTGTTTCGTCCAAGGAATTGCTTTTCCTTTATGCCACATATTCAGTAGTTGTATGTCATTAACTCACTATTTACTATTATGAGAAAGTTTGACTAAGCTTAAAATATTTCCTTTTAAGTAAATTACTTGCAAATTTTAAGATGAATATTTTTTTGTTAAAAAACATTACTTATGTTACAATTAAAAAAGTAACTTTTTTAATGTTAAAATAAGAAAATAGTAATTTGTATGCATAGATTTACAATAAAAAGTTATTTAAAGTTAGTGTACGAAGTTCAAATAGCATGATAAGTGCATATCATGAATGCTTAGACAAGCTTAAAAGGTGCTTAAAATGCAGGTGCTTTAAGCAACTTTTAAGTTTAATCAAACATGATGTAAGAGCTATCCATCCCTTCTTATGAATCAAATATGAATGAAATCTTGGATGATTAACACGTCACGTGGTATATAAAGTTTAATATCTAGTCGCAACATCTTTGGACTAGTAAACAAAGTTCTCAATAGTCTATGGTCAAAATACCTAGTTAAGAAAGGTTAGAATTACCAAGAATCATAAAAAATAAACTTTTACTTTTATATTTATTAAAATATTTTTCTTGGGTCCAAAAATTAATCTTACTTTAAATTTTAAATTTATTGACCCAAAATCTTGATGTATCTAGCTATCATCAACATATCAGGCCACATTTTTATCCACCAATATGTATTTGTACAATAAGAGAATGCGCTAGAATATTCAAGTCAAATTCAAAATTGGGGTATGAAAAAAAAAAAAAAAGAGCTTAGACAGACAATGGAAAAGATAAGATTTACGTATTCATTTAAGTATTTCATAAAATTTGTGTGAATTTTTTTTTATTAATGTCCATACATAAAAAAGTTAGTTTTCTTTGAACTCAAACAAGTATACATTAAAGGGACGATCGAAGGAGAAAGCATCATCAAAGATATAAATTGAAGGAAAACAAAACAATAAAAGTATAATCCCATTTCATTTTTTATTCATTCGGTTTTTGAGATGTTTATGATTATTCGACGTTCTAGTTACGGATTTTAAATGTTTTAGCGATCAAATTGTAATAATTTTGCCATTTCACCAAATTGATGAGATAGTTGATATTAATTATTTTCGATTGTTTAGTCTACTATTGTGAAACCTTAATTCTCCACATACACGCTCCAATAAAATAGTTGTGTAACGAGATTAAAATTATATCTCAAATATGAGTCGAGAATTTTGACTTGACTTAAGACATCTAGAAATGTTTGAGTTCCCTTTTTTTCTTTTTCTTTTTCCCAAAAATGCATTCTGGAATAACGATTTTATGGAGAATATGTTGTTAAAAAATAAGGAAAAATTTTGGATTTACGCGTAATATTATTAAGAATGTGTAGTTAAAAATAAGAAAGAGAAAAATGTATTTTAGAAATAATTGGGACCAAACAAAGGCAAAGAGAAAAAACGTTTAAAAAATAAAAATGGTTTCTTGAATCTCCTTCCAAATGAAATAAAGACACAAAGACTTGAAGCCTTAAAAATATTATTAACGTCAAAATCTACACACTGTCAAATATTTGAGAATATTCATATATTATTGTTCCTGAAATGTATGTGCAAAATAATACAAGTCTAAGGTGGTGGTGTGGTGCTCACTGAGGCCTTTCTTACTGGATTGAAGCCAACACAAGATAACCAATTGCCTAACCTTTATTTCAAAGTCCCTCAAGCCCCCTATCGACAAAATAAAAGGGGATCTAAAGACATATGTTCTTGGGATTTTATCTGAAGAATCATCAGATTGATTGAAGGCAAATTGAAAACCAACCACTCAA